CATCCTCACCATGCGGGTTGTGACTGTAGCAACGCGCGGGGGGGGTGCACATCAGCTCACGAGGCTGCTTTCCGCGGCGCCTTCCGGCGCTGGGAGGCGCCAGCGCATTGAGAGGGAAGCGCCCGGCAGCGGGGCTGAGACCGGCGGCGCGCAGCAGCCTTCGCCCTCCCCCGCCCCCCCTCCTCCTCCTCCTCCTCCTCCTCCTCCTCCTCCTCCTCCTCCTCCTCCTCCTCCTCCTCCTCCTCCTCCTCCTCCTCCTCCTCCTCCTCCTCCTCCTCCTCCTTCCTGTCCGTCCGACCCCAGAGGGAGGGGGCCGGGAATCGCCGGGGTGTTGGCGAGCCGTGGCCAGAGGCACGTGCGCGGACGAGGGGGGGGGCCAAGGAATGCCCTGCACGAAGAGGATGGGGCAAGGAAGGCCGGGACTCGGCTGCACGCAACGACCGACCCCAGGTAGGAGTGACCTCTGTTGGCGGCGCGCAGAGGGGGGTAGGGGGAGGGGGGAAGGCTTCTCAGAAGGGCTGCTTCTTGGAAGGCGCAGGCCTTACATCTACAGACAAGGCCCACGCCTTCCAAGAAGCAGGGGTGCTTCTAAGAAGCCTTCCCCCCTCCCCCTACCCCTCTCTGCGCGTGGCCGACCTCTGGTGCGCGGCTTTTGGGGGCCCGCGGGGGTGGGGGGCCAAGCACAGGCGCGCAAGACGTCACTGCCGCCTCGCGCTCGGCGATCGGGGGACCCCGGTGGGCCCGCACCAAAACTCACTCTGGCGAAAGGTCAATATGGTCCCTGGAAGTCTCGACCGTTTCCTCCAGACCTGTTTTGCATCCTGGGTCCTTTTCTGATGTTCCCGGGGCCCAGCGAGGGCCCCTCGAGGCCCAAGACAACCCAAAACCTCGCGCCCTGATCCTCTCACGACGCGACCATGCGTCCTGTCCCCCTGGAGTTTCCGAGTGGACCAGAAGTTTGGAGCCCAGTCGCCGGTTCCGAACCACGTTAGCTGCTGGGTGTCCTGCCCATCCTTCTGTGCCAGTTTCGGGCGTGCAGACACACACACATATCCGACTGTGTGTTTGCTCTCCAACCGCGGGCGTCCTTGACCACTTCCCCCCTGGTCCCCAGCTCGGAGAGGCATCGTGGACGTCCGCGCTAGATGTGGACACTCGAGGAAAAAGAACAATGAACATACACCGATTTTGGCCAGGTCCATCCTGAGCCCAAGATCGGTGCATACGCCCTCCCGCCTTGGCCAGGAAGGCATGTGCACCGATCCTGGGGCCAAGGATGGGCCTGGCCAGGACTGGTGCATGTGCATAGTTCTCTTCGCCCGAGACACGCGGTGGCAAGCGCCTCTCCCCCCTCGGACACGGGACGAGCCGGACAAGAGCTGCCCAGCGCCAACAAGCTTCCCTGCGCGCCTGGGTCCTGGATCCCCTGAGGGGCAACGTTGGGGGGGGGAGCGGGCTGATGGGGGTTGAAGGATGAAAAAACGATCAGACCCTGGGTTACAAGTGCGTGGCCTGTAAACCTCCTGGGAACCCCCAAAGCCTAGAGCCGCCAGGACGCGGCACATCACGCAGGGTTTACCCTGTCAGCCCCCAGGAGTTTCAGCGCACAGCGCCCGATGGGGGGGCGACCTCGACCTGGCATCGGCGATACATCGCCGATAGATCGGACCCCTGCGCGCCTGGGTTCCCCTGAGGGGCAACGTTTGGGGGGGAGCGGGCTGGTGGGGGGGCGACCTCGACCTGGCACTGGCGATACATCGCCGACAGATCGGCGACGGGCCCCCGATGCCCAGACCGCGCGCTCCTGGGCGGCGTGGGCGATCGGGCCCCCCGCGGCCACCAAATGTGCGACTGGGGGCCGAGGCATCCCCCCCGCCCTGAGCCGCTCCCCGCGAGCGTCGCCCCGGAGGGGGCGGAGGGCATGCGGGGCCCTCAGAATTCTGGTTGCCCGAAACGGTGCGATGGCAGACCGTGCGGTGACCTCGAAATCCCCCAGAACCTCACCGCACGGTCCGTCACCGCACGGTTTTGGGACCCCGGAGGCCCCAGTCGCCCGAGACATCCTCGGAGAACGACCCGAGTCCCAAAACCGAGCGGTGACCCCGCATCCCCACCGACTCACCACACGGTGTGGCCACCACCCTTTTTGGGGGCCCCCGAAGAGTACACCCTTTGAAGAAGGAGCAACTGCCTGGAGAGGTGGTTGCTTTGGCCAGGGCCGAGGAATCGGCCATTCCTCGAGTCCATCGGCGCTGCTGCCCTTCCCATCCGCCCCCTCCGCCGCTGGAAGCGGTGCGGAGGGCGCCTAGTGAGGGAGTTCGCAGGTGGCCGCGGGGCACTCGCCCATCCTGTGGGCGCGGCGGGGAACAAACACCTCCCGAGTCGTTTCCTCACGGTCCTGGGACCTCCTGCCATCGCTCGGACGTGCATGTCTCGGCTTCGCGCGGGTATTGTTTCGCGAGGCGATCCAGGATGCTCCTCCTCGACGGTCCTCGCCGAGGAACAAACAAGCACACGCCCGAGCGATGCCACGGCCCGGTGCGGGCCTCCAGAGGAGGCCGACAGCGACAAAGCGCATCCGCCCCGATGCTTCCAATGCGCTGGATCTCTGGGACTCCGCCGAGGAGGAGGAGGAGGAGGAGGGGGAGGAGGAGGGGGAGGGGGGCAGCGTCCTCGAGCTTCTCCTTCACGCCGTCGAGCTGGTCGGTCACGCCCTTGATGCCGCCCTGCGACTCCTCCGCCGCCGCTCCGCCCGCCGAGGCGCCAGGGAAGGGGGAAGGGGGGGGGCGCGGGGGCGGGGGAGGAAGCACTGCGCGTCCCCCCCCCGTCCTCTGCCTGCCCCACCCTTTTCCTTCTCCCTCCCTCTTGCCCGCTCCTGCCCCTCCTCCGCCTCCTCTCCACCTCCTCTCGTGCCCCCCCCCTTCCGCGCTATCCTCCGCCTCCTAGTCCCCCCCCTTCTCGCCGTACTCCGCCTGTTTCCTCCTTCCTCCTTCCTCTAACCCTCCAGAGGGAAGAGGAAAGGTGCGGAAAGGAAGGGAAGGAAGGATTCCATCCGCCCCTCCCCCTTCCCCCCTCTCCATCCCCTATCCTCATGGAAAACCCCAACCTGTCGCACCCTGGGACTTGATGGTATGGCGATGCGGTCGATTAGCTAAAGACTCCCCCACCACTGATGACCCTTGAACATGCCATTCCAGACACCAGCGTAGAAGAATGGAGCGCGAACCGCCGCGCACATTCGTGTCACAACGCTTGCAACAGTCACATTGATGGAGGGCGGCTCCAAGGCGACTATCGCCTGAGCACCGCTCACATTCTTCTGCGAAGCTCGCGGGAACTGTAAAACGGTTGGAGAGGTCGGCGTAGTTTCAAGAATGGGGCTGTCGCCTTGGAGCCGCGCACACCCGCCTCAAAGGCTTGCCGCCACAAAAGAAGGGATGGGGGACGGCTCCTTCTCAGAACGTTTGTTTTGTCTATCGCTTGGAGCTGCCAAACAAATTCAACGACTGGGGTTAGGTCGGGCATGCCCCCCTACCAGCGGAATGTTGACTAACAATGAAAATAGCCAAGACATGCTCAAACATAGTCAAAAAGATGATGCAATATTCGTCCCCATTATTTGTTTGGCTATCTTTGAATCTTCTTCCTGTAGAAGGACCACGCGCGACTTCAGACTAGGGGTTTGGACCTGTGTGCGACAGCTGCATGGCTGCAGCCGGGGCACTCGCTCGAGAGATTCTTCGGTCAATCGTTACACTGCGGCGAGCGTACACTTAGGTCGGGCATGTCCTCCTACAGGGGGACTTTGGACGAAACATAAAATAGCAAAAATGCTCAAATATAGGCAACAACAAGCGTCCCCAGACTATGTGTGTTGACTGTGTTTGAATATTCCTCCTGTAGAGGGACAGGCCCGACTTAAGTGTGTACGCTCGTGCAAGAACTTCACGGATGGGGGCGGCCTCGCGTTGAGCCCGGACTCTTGCTGGACATCTCGCGGTCCTCTGCGTCAGCGGCGTCCTCCTGCTCCCGCTCCTCGCGGTCCCCTGCCGAACCCCAGTCCTCCTCCTGATACTTGTGCTCCCCAGATCCGCCTCCCCCTCGACTGGTCGTCCCCAGAGCTCACCCTAAAGCGCCCCCCCTCCCGCCCGTCTCCATCCACCTTATTCCTAAACACCCCCTCCTCGTCGTACAGTGTCGCGCCACGTGTCCTCAGGGAGGGCTGGGCATCTCGCCTGAGATACCCTCGCGGTTTGCGACTCTGAGGCTTGACGTGCCCAACGAATGCACGGACGGACCACACATCGTTAAACAAAAATGGACCTTCGCATGAACCATTGAAGCAAATTCTACGGACGGATACCGGCAGGCTCTCAAAATCTGGCTCTCGTCTTCGAGTTGCGCAGCTTCGTCTAACAATAAAACAAGTGGACGGATGGGGCACAGGTTGTTTTCAACATGCTGCTCTCGCCTTGGAGCAGCACGCATTTTCCCCCGCATTCCCTACCACTGGACTAATGGAGGATGGCGATGCTTCCGCATGCGAGTCTGCCCTCAGACCTCTTTATTGTTGCGGTTCCAGAAACCAAGGCTGTGCAACAGTTGGGAAACTCCAACATGGGGCAATCGTGTGATACATCCTCTGGTTTGGTGGCCAGATGAGTGGGCGTGTGGCAAGCCTCTTAGCAGGCTGCACGCATTGATGGCGTTGTTGTATATACATGTGTATATATATATATGAATACACATGTATACGTTGAATATAGGTCGGAGGTTGGGGGGAGAGATCGAAGTGGAACGGAGAGCCCACCTACCGGGAAATCGATTTCGGTTTCGTGTTCGTGCGTGCCGCGCGTGCGGGCGAGGCGAAGCTGCGTGGGCGGGCGAGAGGAAAGTCTCCTGTGGCTGAGACGCGGCCGGACCAAATGATTGTGTCCCGGGCGTCCGGTGGCCCACGGTGTCCCGCCGGTGTCCGATGATGATGATGATGATGATGATGATGATGGTGATGATGGTGATGATGGAGATGACGATAATGATGATGATGACGGTGATGTTGATGATGATGATGTTGATGTTGTGGTTGGTGATGTTGATGTTGATGATGATGTTCATTGTGAGACCGATTGGGAGATCGATTGTGAGATCCCTTGTGATATCGATAGTGAGATTGAATGTGAGATTGATTGGGAGATCGATAGTGAGATCGATTGTGAGATCGATCGTCAGATCGATTGTGAGATCGATGGTGAGATCGATTGTGAGATCCTTTGTGAAATCGATATTGATATCGATGGTGCGACAGAATAAGGGATCGATTGAGAAACCGATTGTGAGATCGATCGAATGAGATCGATAGTGATATCGATCGTGAGATCGATAGTGAGACCGAATGTGAGATCGATTGTGAGATCCATTGTGATATCGATCGTCAGAACAACAATCGCCACTGTTGCCCATTGTTGGCCCCCTCTCCCCCCCAACCTCCTTATCACCCGCAGGGTGGTCATATAGGTATGTATGGAAAAAACAGGGCTGTCTCCTAGCACTGGCGGCGCGCACAAGGGGAGAGCGGGAAGGGGGCAAGGCTTCTCAGAAGGAGGCTGCTTCTTAGAAGGCGCTGGCCCTACATCTCCAGACCAGGGGTGAGCCCCAGCGGCGGTGTCCACATGCGTCTCCCCCCACCCAACACAGCGCTTCCTGGCTCCATAGGGAGCTCCACCTATGGCCCCAGTGGCGGTGTCCACATGCGTCTCCCCCACCCAGCACAGCGTTTCGTGGCCACACAGGGAGCTCCACCGAAGGCCCCAGTGGCGGTGTCCACATGCGCCTCCCCCATCCAGCACAGCGCTCCGTGGCCCCAGATGGAGCCCAACCTAAGGTTGTAGTGGCGGTGTCCACATGGGTCCCCGCACAACTGAATATGATTGGGTCGTTCGCCAGGCGAATTCCAAACCATCCTGTGGTGTTGGATCCTCGTTTTGAGGAGACGGTCCCCGAGTTCCTTCCCTCCTTCCGTCCCTCCTTTCTCCTCCCCCTCCTCCCTCCTCCCATCCCTGCCTCTGTCCTGCGCATGTCCTCAGCGTTTCGTGGCTCCAGTGGCGGTGACCACATGCGTCTCCCCCACCCGGCACAGCGCCTCGTGGCTCCATAGGGAGCTCCACCTGAAGTCCCAGTGGCGGTGTCCACATGCGTCTCCCCGGCTCAGCACAGCGCTTCGTGGCCGCATAGGAGCTCCACCTAAAGCCCCAATGGCGGTGCCCACATGCGTCCCCCCCAAGCGGCACAGCGTTGTGTGGCCACATAGGGAACTCCACCTGAGGTCCCAGTGGCGGTGCCCACATGCGTCTCCCCCAACCAGTACGGCGTTCCGTGGCCCCATACTGAGCTCCACCAAAGGTCCCAACGGCGGTGTCCACATGCGTCTCCCCCACCCGGCACAGCGCTTCGTGGCTCCATAGGGAGCTCCACCTGAAGTCCCAGTGTCGGTGTCCACTTGCGTCTCCCACACTCAACCCAGCGTTTCGTGGCCACATAGGGTGCTCCACCTAAAGTCCAAGCGGCGGTGTCCACATGCGTCTCCCCACCCAACACAACGCTTCGTGGCTCCATAAGGAGCTCCACCTAAGGCCCCAGTGGCGGTGTCCACATGCGTCCCGCACACCCAGCACAGCGTTTCGTGGCCACATAGGGTGCTCCACCCAAGGCCCCAGTGGCGGTGCCCACATGCGCCTCCCCCACCCGGCACAGCGCTTCGTGGCTCCATTGGGAGCTCCACATAAAGCGCCAGCGGCGTGCCCACATGCGTCTCCCCCACCCAGCACAGAGCTTCGTGGCCACATAGGGAGCTCCACCTCAGGTCCCAATGGCGGTGTCCACATGCGTCTCCCCCATCCAGCACAGCGCTCCGTGACTCCATAGGGAGCTCCACCCAAAGCACCACCTGCGGTGTCCACATGGGTCTCCCCCACCCAGTTCGGCGTTTCATGGCCACATAGGGTGCTCCACCTAAGGCCCCAGTGGCGGTGCCCACATGCGTCTCCTCCACCCAGCACAGCGTTTCGTGGCTCCATAAAGAGCTCCACCAAAGGCCCCAGTGGTGGTGTCCACATGCGTCTCCCCCATCCAGCACAGCGTTTCGTAGCCCCGCTAGGAGCTCCACCTAAGGCCGCAGTGGCGGTGTCCACATGGGTCTCCCTCGCCCAGTACAGCGCTTCGTGGCCTACAGGGAGCTCCACCGAAGGCGATACCCACAACTGCGGTGCTCACAACTGCATATGGTGGGGTCCTTCGCCAGGCTGATTGTTTGTTTTGCTCTATCTGTTTTCCTGTACCTCCTTGCCAACACGAAAACAAAACACAGCCGAAGTTCAGCAAAACAGCGTTTCGGTCCAGCCCTGCTGCAGACCACCTCTGGGGACTTCTGGAAGCCTCCGGGGCCCCGGGGGGGGGGGGGGAGGGAGGAGGGCTCCCAGAGGTGTCTCGTGGAAGCGCGGGGGG